AGAGGAAATGAGAGTGATCTGGGACTAATAAAAGCAGAAATGTAATTTGTGCAGATATACGAGGAAGGCGAAGCCTTCAGATGGGGCCTGAGTTTGTGCATTCCAGGCTCATAAACACAACACGGGGTGGGGGGGGGGAAGGGCAGAATGTGGGCAGTGGCCTCCACCTGCTAGGTGGGGTATGGGCAGCCTAGGGGAGTGTGCTTGCCTGGGGTAGAAGGGGCCACCCTTTTAGACAGGTCTGTGGTGGTCTGGCCAGCACCTTTTTCCTGGTCTTTTCTGTGGAGGTTGGTTCAGGAGGCACAGGACAGTTTATTTGGCAGGGGCCGCCAGGCCAGAACCCAGAGTGTCTCCAGCTTCTTTGGGCTGATGTGTCGCAGCAGGCACCTCCTGTAATGTTTGATCCAAGCCGCCGGGGGTGAGATTGAAGTGGGTCAGAAGGGCGGGCTCTTTTCTCCTTGTTGGGGATGCCTGAGATAAATCCAGGGAGAGGCGAGAAGGAAGGCCACTGTCCGCATGGGGTCTGCTGGCGTTGACATGACAGGTGGCCAGGAGCTTGCTTTGTGGGACATTGGTTCCCTCTCTGCAACCGCAGCACCTCCATCCTTGAATCAGGGCCAGCTGCCTGCGGAAGGCCAGGGAGGTGGGCTCCTGGGGGCTGTCTGGCTGCTCTGGGCTTGCCCTGCTCAGCTGATTGAAGCACCCCTCTGTCCCCCTCCCTGGTCATACCTTGACACTGAATGAAGAAGACACTGAATAAGGAAAGCATTTAGGTGAGATCCTGGTGAAGAAGAGGGGTGAGCTGGTCCTATTGGGGCAGTTCCTCCCCTCCCCTATTCCACATCACTCTGTCTCTTTCCGCTTCTCACATCTGCCTGTCTCTCTCTCTTCCCTGTTTTTCATTCCATTCTGATCCCTCCCATAACCCTGGAATCTTGTAACCCGAGGCAGGCCACCCCTTCTTTCTGAAAGGAAAATACAAAGTCCCCTGTGTCCTCCTGGGGGCTTGGGAAACGCAGGCTGACCTGAGCCTTGTTCTTTCTGACTCCCCCACCCCCGCTGCAGCTGGCATGATTGTGGGTAAATCCCGAGCCCCCCAGATCTCTCCAGCCTGGAGCATTTCTTGTTTCTCCCTCCCTCAAGGAGGGTCTTCTGGGGTGACCAGGTCCCCAGTCAGTTGGTAGAACCTGTAGCCTTGACTTTGAGGGCCTGCCTGTTTTGTGAATCCAGTTACTTCGGCGAAGTAACTGGATTCACAAAACAGGCAGGCCCTCAAAGTCAAGGCTACAGGTTCTCACTCTCAACCCTGTGGTCATTTCCTGACCCAGGATCCTACTTTGGGGTAGGTTGGACTTCACTGGGGCCTCAACACCTAAAATTGTAAACAGATGGGCTCTGGGCCTGGTATGACTTGGTCCTGACCGTGTGGAAGCCAAAGGGGCCAGCTAGGACTTACTGGGCTGCTTTACACATGAAGGGACTGTCCCTTATTAGCATGCACTTCCTCACTGTGGGCCGTGTAATCGGTTTATGCACCTATGATATCAAAACAGGAGTCAGGTGCCACTGTTCTGTGTTCTTGGGAGTCATAGAAGGAGATGTTTTATGCCTACAGTGGTTCGGAGGCCACTAATCGACGTCTGCTAGGAGGAACAGAGATTCCAGATGGCATGGAAGTGATGAGGGTGTGTGTGTGTGCGTGTGTGTGCGTGTGCGTGTGCGTGTGCGTGCATGTGTCGGCGCGCGTGCTTGGGAGCAGCTTCTCTGGGGCAAGAGCAAACCTTCCTCGCCCCTGGCTTGGCTGGGTCATGCTTGAGCACTGTCCAGCAGGGACTAGATTACAGGATCCAGTGGCCCCAGGGGACGGGGGAGCGGGAAGTGCTCTGCTAAATGATTTTGAGCTGTTAGAAGGGCTGGAAGTGGCGGGATGGGGGAGGGAGGGCGAACTGGCCACAGGGAGGGTGGGGTGGCAGCTCCCTGGCGACCTAGTGCTAGGCAGCCAGGTTTGCACCTCCTCCTCTCTCTCCCTCAAGAAGCAGCTGTCCTTGTCAAGGCTCAGGCGTCGTTGGTGGGAATTACAGAGCACACCTCCCTGACACAGAAGTTGTCAATATATGCACAGCTGGTGGGGAGGCTCAGGCAAAGAGGGTACTATTAAGAGCTTTGGGGAGAGGGCAGGGCAGGGATAAGAGTGAGGAGACAGGCTTTCTGAGCTGAAAGGAAATGGTCCATTTGAATTTCTGTCCTTCCATGCCCACCCTCCCCTCCCCATGCCTGCTCCCACTCCCCCTTCTCTTTTCATAGATAACCAGCCGAGTCATGCAGTCTTTTCGAGAAAGGTGTGGTTTCCATGGCAAACAACAGAACTACCAGCAGACCTCACAGGAGACATCTCGCCTGGAGAATTACAGGCAGCCGAGCCAGGCCGGGCTGAGCTGTGACCGGCAGAGGCTGCTGGCCAAGGACTATTATAACCCGCAGCCTTACTCAGGCTACGAGGGCAGTGCCGGCACGCCTGCCAGCACTGCACGCGGAAGCAAAGGACTGACATCGCAGCAGGCCCTGCAGGGGAGGCCGGCGTTCTCCAGCTACAGCGTCCAGGAGAGCAGCCCTTACCCCGGCCGATACTCAGGCGAGGAGAGCCTGCAGGCCTGGGGGACCCCCCAGCCACCACCACCCCAGCCACAGCCCCTGCCAGGGGGCGTGGGAAAATATGATGAGAACTTGATGAAAAAGACAGCAGTGCCCCCAGGCAGGCAGTACCCAGAGCAGGGTACTCAGCTGCCCTTTCGGACTCACTCCCTGCACCTCCAGCCCCAGCTGCCACAGCCTCAGCAGCCCCTGGCCTACCCTAAGCTCCAGAGGCAGAAACTGCAGAATGATATTGCCTCACCTCTGCCCTTTCCCCAGAGCGGCCACTTTCCCCAGCAGTCGCAGTCCTTCCCCACCTCCTCCACCTACTCCTCTACTGGCCAGGGTGGTGGGCAGGGGGCCCACTCCTATAAGAGTTGCACAGCACCGTCTGCTCAGCCACACGACAGGCCGCTGACTGCTAGCACCAGCCTGGCCTCAGGGCAGCGAGTCCAGAATCTTCATGCCTATCAGTCCAGCCGTCTCAGCTATGACCAGCAGAAGCAGCAGCAACAGCAAGCCCTTCAGAGCCGGCACCATGCCCAGGAAACCCTCCATTACCAAAATCTCGCCAAGTACCAACACTACGGGCAGCAAGGCACAGGCTACTGCCAGCCAGACTCAGCCGTCAGGACCCCAGAGCAGTACTACCAGACCTTCAGCCCCAGCTCCAGCCACTCACCTGCACGCTCCGTGGGCCGTTCACCTTCCTACAGCTCCACCCCTTCACCACTGATGCCAAACCTGGAGAACTTTACCTACAACCAGCAGCCTCTCAGCACCGGGGCCTTTCCCACAGGTATCACCGACCACAGTCACTTCATGCCCTTGCTCAACCCCTCCCCCACTGATGCCACCAGCTCTGTGGACACCCAGGCCGGCAACTGCAAGCCGCTGCAAAAGGACAAGCTCCCCGAGAACCTGCTGTCAGATCTCAGCCTGCAGAGCCTCACAGCCCTGACCTCACAGGTGGAGAACATCTCCAACACGGTGCAACAGCTGCTGCTCTCCAAGGCTGCCGTGCCACAGAAGAAGGGTGTCAAGAACCTGGTTTCCAGGACCCCAGAGCAGCACAAAAGCCAGCACTGCAGCCCAGAGGGCAGTGGCTACTCAGCTGAACAGGCAGGCACACCACTGTCGGAGCCACTGAGCAGCACGCCGCAGTCCAGCCACGCCGAGCCACCCGAGGCCGACTACCTGAGTGGCTCTGAGGACCCACTGGAGCGCAGCTTCCTCTACTGCAACCAGGCCCGCAGCAGTCCTGCCAGGGTCAACAGCAACTCGAAGACCAAGCCTGAGTCTGTGTCCACCTGTTCCGTGACCTCACCTGATGACATGTCCACCAAGTCCGATGACTCCTTCCAGAGCCTGCACAGCAGCCTGCCACTTGACAGCTTCTCCAAGTTTGTGGCAGGTGAGCGGGAATGCCCACGGCTGCTGCTCAGCGCCCTGGCACAGGAGGACCTGGCTTCTGAAATCCTGGGGCTACAGGAGGCCATCGGTGAAAAGGGTGACAAGGCCTGGGCCGACACGCCTAGCCTGGCCAAGGACACCAATAAGCCACCTTTCTCACTGGAGAACCACAGCACCTGCCTGGACTCTGTGGCCAAGAACGCATGGCCACGACCAGGGGAGCCAGAGGCCCTGCCCGAGTCCTTGCAGCTAGACAAGGGCAGCAACACCAAGGACTTCAGCCCAGGGTTGTTTGAAGACCCTTCCATGGGCTTTGTTACCCCCGACCCCAAGAAGACAGCTGGTCCCCTCACTTTTGGTACCAAGCCCACCCTTGGGGCTGCCACTTCAGACCCCACTGCAGCAGCTTTTGACTGCTTCCCAGACACAACCACTGCCAGCTCAGCAGACAGTGCCAACCCCTTTGCCTGGCCTGAGGAAAACCTCGGAGATGCTTGTCCCCGGTGGGGGCTGCACCCCAGTGAACTCACCAAGGGCCTAGAGCAAGGCGGAAAGGCCTCGGACAGCATCGGCAAGGAGAACACTCATGAGGCTTCCACTTGCCTGGGCTTCCAGGAGGAAGAGCCCCCTGGGGAGAAGGCTGCTGTGCCCCGGGACTCCAAGCAGGAGGAGGCAGGGGGCGTGAAGGAGGAGGCAGGAGGGCTGCTGCAGTGTCCTGAGGTAGGCAAGGCTGACAGATGGCTGGAAGACAGCCGGCACTGCTGCTCTGCCTCTGACTTTGGGGACCTCCCGTTGCTGCCACCCACCAGTAGGAAGGAGGACCTGGAGGCCGAGGAGGAGTACTCGTCCCTGTGTGAGCTCCTGGGCAGCCCTGAGCAGAGGCCCAGCATGCAGGACCCACTGTCACCAAAGGCCCCACTGATGTGCACCAAGGAGGAAGTGGAGGAGGTGCTGGATCCCAAGGCCAGCTGGGGCTCCCCATGCCACCTCTCTGGGGAGTCGGTAATCTTGTTGGGCCCTACTGTGGGCACTGAGTCAAAGGTCCAGAGCTGGTTTGAGTCCTCCCTGTCCCACATGAAGCCCAGGGAAGAAGGGCCTGATGGGGCACTGGCTCCGGGAGACCCTACCACCCTGACCTCGGATGCCTCCTTGGCCCAGAAGCCAAATAAGCCTGCTGTGCCCGAGACACCCATTGCTAAGAAAGAACCTGTGCCACGTGGCAAAAGTTTACGGAGCCGGCGGGTGCACCGGGGGCTTCCTGAGGCCGAGGACTCCCCATGCAGGGCACCAGCTCTGCCCAAAGACCTCCTGCTTCCTGAATCCTGCACAGGGCCACCCCAGGGACAGATGGACGGGGCAGGGGCCCCGGGCCGGGGGGCCTCAGAAGGGCTTCCTAGAATGTGCACCCGTTCTTTCACGGCCCTGAGCGAGCCCCGTACACCTGGACCCCCGGGACTGACCACCACCCCAGCCCCCCCAGACAAACTGGGGGGCAAGCAGCGAGCTGCCTTCAAGTCAGGCAAGCGGGTGGGGAAGCCCTCCCCTAAAGCAGCATCCAGCCCCAGTAACCCAGCCGCCCTGCCCGTGGCCTCCGACAGCAGTCCTATGGGCTCCAAGACCAAGGAGACAGACTCTCCTGGCACTCCCGGCAGAGACCAGCGCTCTATGATCCTTCGGTCCCGCACCAAAACCCAGGAGGTCTTCCACTGCAAGCGGCGGCGGCCCTCAGAAAGCCGGGTCCCCAACTGCCGTGCTGCCAAAAAGCTCCTTGCCAACGACCATCTGCCTACCACATTCAAGGTCTCCTGCAGCCCCCAGAAGGAGGGCAGGGCCAGCCAGCGGGCAAGAGTCCCCAAGCCCGGTGCAGGCAGCAAGCTCTCTGATAGGCCCCTTCACACACTCAAAAGAAAGTCGGCCTTCATGGCACCAGTCCCCACCAAGAAGCGAAACCTGGTCTTACGGAGCAGCAGCGGCAGCAGCAGCAGCGGCAGCGGGGTGGACATGAAGGAGGAGCCGGCTGAGGGCTCCCTGACCCTCTTCAAGAGGATATCTTCTCCCAAGAAAGCCAAGCCCACCAAGGGCAATGGTGAGCCCACTGAGAAGCCCCTGCCCCCAGAAACCCCCGACACCTGCCTCAAGCTGGCCTCGAGGGCAGCCTTCCAGGGGGCCATGAAGACCAAGGTGCTGCCTCCCCGGAAAGGTCGGGGTCTGAAGCTGGAAGCCATCGTGCAGAAGATCACCTCACCCAGCCTGAAGAAGTTCGCATGCAAAGTGCCGGGGACCCCTTCTGGAAATCCTCTGAGCCCATCCCTCTCTGAGAAGGACCGTGGGTTCAAGAGCACTGGGGGCAGCCCGGTGGGAGCAGAAGAAGGTCTCTTAAACGTGGGCACCGGGCAGAAGCTCCCAGCAACTTCGGGGACTGACCCGTTATGCAGAAATACCCCCAACAGATCCTTAAAAGGCAAACTCATAAACAGTAAGAAATTGTCCTCAACTGACTGTTTCAAAACTGAGGCCTTCATGTCCCCAGAGGCCCTGCCGCCCAGGGGGACTGCCCTGGCGCCTAAGAAGAGAAGCCGGAAAGGCAGGGCTGGAGCCCTGGGACTCCCTAAAGGCCCTCTAGAGAAGCGGCCGCATCTTGGCCCTACTCTGCTCCTGAATCCCCGAGACAGGGCCAATGGCATGCAGGATGGCAGTGAGGACAGCTCTGGTGGAGGAGGCAAGAAGCCAAAGATGGAGGAGCTGGGCTTGGCCTCCCAGCCGCCTGAGGGCCGGCCCTGCCAGCCCCAGATGAGAGCACAGAAGCAGCCAGGCCACGCCAACTACAGCAGCTATTCCAAGCGAAAGCGCCTCACCCGGGGCCGGGCCAAGAACACCAACTCTTCACCCTGTAAGGGGCGTGCCAAGCGGCGGAGGCAGCAGCAGGTGCTGCCCCTGGATCCTGCAGAGCCTGAAATCCGCCTCAAGTACATTTCCTCATGCAAGCGGCTGCGGGCAGACAGCCGCACCCCGGCCTTCTCGCCCTTTGTGCGGGTTGAGAAGCGAGATGCATTCACCACTGTATGCACTGTTGTCAACTCTCCTGGAGAGGAACCCAAGCCCCACAAAAAACCTTCGTCTTCTGCCTCCTCTTCCTCATCTTCATCTTCCCTGGATGCGGCCGGGGCCTCCCTAGCCACGCTCCCTGGAGGTTCTGTCCTGCAGCCACGTCCCTCCCTGCCCCTCTCCTCCACCATGCATCTGGGGCCTGTGGTTTCCAAAGCCCTGAGTACCTCTTGCCTTGTTTGCTGCCTCTGCCAAAACCCGGCCAACTTTAAGGACCTCGGGGACCTCTGTGGGCCCTACTACCCTGAACACTGCCTCCCCAAAAAGAAGCCAAAACTCAAGGAGAAGGTGCGGCCAGAGGGCATCTGTGAGGAGGCCTCACTGCCCCTGGAGAGAACATTCAAAGGCCTCGAGTGCGCAGCTGCTGTTGCCATTGGAAAACCCCCCAAATCAGATGGCCCAGCTGACCCAACCAAGCAGGGCTCACTGCGCACCAGTGCTCGGGGCCTGTCCCGGAGGCTACAGAGTTGCTACTGCTGTGATGGTCGGGGGGACGGTAGTGAGGAGGTAGCCCCAGCCGACAAGAGTCGCAAGCATGAGTGCAACAAGGAGGCACCATCAGAGCCTGGTGGGGACACCCAGGAGCACTGGGTGCATGAGGCCTGTGCCGTGTGGACGGGCGGGGTCTACCTGGTGGCCGGGAAGCTCTTTGGGCTACAGGAGGCCATGAAGGTGGCTGTGGACATGGTAAGAGGCCAGTCCAGCTGGAATGGGGAGCTTAGGTTCCACATGACAGGCAGGCAGGCAGTCGGGGAGCCTTTTTATCTCTCTAGCACTATAATTTAGGCCAAACATACAGTGACAAATTAATACCTGGGGAATTTGGGTGGAGTTAAAGCATTCCCCAGGCTGAGGCAGGACACACGTTGTCCCGGACTTCCTACTGCAGCCACTCTCAGCCTGCCCAGCCCATTGGCCACCACATATTCACCTGGCATCCTCCAGCTCCAGGGCCCACCTGACCTCATCTGCTTGTGTAATCAGCTGAGATGCTGATGTTGAAGCCCCAGAGGATAAGGGGCCTCCTAAATTGAATATCAGGGCATCCTGTAAAAGCAGGCTGCCCAAGCTTGGGGTACCTCTTAGATGGAGCTGGGGGCTTAGGGGACAAGCCCCTCAATACAAAGTTGGAATGTGTCCCCTTTGCAGGACAGCCCCCAGGACCACACTGCCCTCGTCGAGTAGGGTGGTCCAGGGATTTCTCACAAATGGTCCTAAAATGCCCCTGGAGGGGCTCTAGTCACTGAAGTCTATGAGCAAGAACTTGGGCTGGCTTCTTGGTTCAGATGCCAGCTGCCCTTCACTCTGTCCGAGACTTAACCTCTCTGTGCCTCCATTTCCCCACCTCTGAGGTGGGCATATTAGTTCCCAGCACAGAGGGGCTGTGAGGATTAAATGAGTTAATATCCATGAAAGTTATTCAAGCCGTGCCTGACCCGTCTGAGTGCTGTTGACATTCCTGAGCTAGAACCAGTGACAGTGGCAGAGGCCATGTCACCACCCACAGTGTTCCCTGCCACTTAGGTTACCATGGGGCTGTCATTCCTCACACTTCCTTCTGAGGAGTGCAGAGGATGTGAGAGCAAACAAGAGCCAGGAGGCCATTCAGAGCCTCGAAGACCTGGCAGTAGTCAGCAGAAGGTACCTGGAACAGGGTAATGGTCAAAGGGTAAAGTCAGCATTCTTTCCCTGAGGCTTGTGCTCCTGCCCCCACCCCCTGACACACACATTCATGGACATTCTACTGTAAAGCGACACTCCCTGGCACTACAGCACTACCCCAACCCTGCCTCTGGGGACCCTCGCCCTTGCCCACTCATCCCCACCTCCCCATGGCTGCCCCTTCCCACTACCTGCATACTTGATCCTTTGCTTCCACCACCCATCAACCCCAGCCACTCTGACCACCCCCTGTGCTAACTGTCCATTATGGGGCTATTGTGGATGGATGGCTGCAGCCATCAGGTGCTGCCAATGCTTCCCTGTCTCCCACACTTGACCTTCCACTGCCTGGGGATACTTAGAGACCTCTCCATGCCCAGATGTCCCACTCATTGGCCTCCAGCCTGACTGAGGAAACCCAGACCCAACAGGACACCTGCTACTTCCCCAAACCCCCTCCAGGCCCATAGGCCCTGGAGCTCTCCCTTCCCTTCTCAATTATTATTTACCTCCCTCATGCTATCTCTACTTTTCTCTCTGTCACCAGCACCTTCTCAGCCATCTTGAAATAAGTTCAAGTCTCTCCTATCATTGAAAATTTAATACTAATCCTCAGATCCCCAGCCCCAGCTTGCTGCCTACCCTGCCTACTCCTACTCCCACTGCTCATAGCCTGGCTTCCGAAAGCATCCATAGCTCTGTGTGCTTGCCTGGCTCTCAGCAAGCCCTCCGTCCCCTGACATGCACACCCCACCAATAGCATCTCCCTGCCTCACCCGAGGCAGCTCAGGCATGATCTGAAGGACTTCCCTGCCAGAGAGATGGTCCTGGGCCTTGCCCAGGGGGCTGGCAGCC